ATGTGCACCATTGGTTTGGGATCAGGGTTTTCCAACTTCCCTAGGTAGACTTTCCGTGTCCACCGACCCGGTTAAGGAGCCAGACATTGGTTTTTTGTCCCCTCAGTCCCGTAAACAACACCGGCGCCGCAAGAAGGCAATGAGTAGGACTTCCTTGGAAGTGGTTGTATCCATGTGAAACATTTCGAGAGGGAGAGTTGACTCCCCCCACTCTCGGCCGTACCAGGGCATTTGGGGCTCCAGGTCGCCCCTAACCCAGATTCTTTTTCAGGTACCTTTAGAAAAATCCTTCCACAGTGTTAGCAACCGGGAAGTGGTAATTGCCCCCCAAGTCTACTAAACCTCGCTCCAAGCTACACATTGGAGCCTTCCACGTACGCATTCTGAGTCAAATCGGTCAGTAGGTCACCTTGGTTAAGACTCTATGATCTCGTACCATGAAAAGAGGCACCGTCTAGCATGGCGACCCCTTGAACCAAGGCAACAACGGACTCAAATAGACCATATAGTAAGATATAACTAGCAGAGAAGGAATTAGTTCGTAGGTTTAAGGGAAGACAATGAGTGTATACACCTACAGCATTGTGATCGATTATGAGCCATGTCACCCAGAATCTTCGACCATTGGTTACGATAGTCGCGCGGACCCCAACCAAGTGGTCTGCATCTACCAACATGGTTCAGATCAAAAGTTAGTGACTTTAGGGATTGATGCCACGTTTTGATTTGACTGCCCTCTTGCCTGGCGCTTTAACTGCGTTGGTGGACACGGCGAGTTCACCTAGGGGAGTTGGAGAACCCTAATTCCAAACCAATGGGGCACATGGGCTCCAGTATCCTGAGGGAACGAATGGCGTATGAACCTGTTGTTGGTCACCGGCTATCATGGGACTGCATTTCCTCACGATGCTCCACTGCCTTGTGGATTAGGCCTTTAGGTCGAAGGCTCGGGGTGTGGTCCCTTAGGAAAACCACCTGCTTCAGTTTGGGCACCTCAGCAGTATCACAGCCCTCACACAAATCCCATTTTATTTGTGTGGCGCATATTTATCTGGTGCTTCCTTGTACCAATATTTATGTGTTTAAATAAATAAATAATCTTCCAACCACCTCCAAACTAGTCAGCATTTCGCGTCGTGGTAATCGGTGTTCAGACATACTTAACACATGGCCCGACCATCTCAGGCAATAGAGATTCACAACCTCATCAACTAATTTGCCATCATTCCTTAATACCCTGAATTTGATTTCACTGATATATATTCTGTGATGCCAGCGGATACGAACAATATTTCCAAGACATCTGTGACCAGATACCAGTAACTTGCGAGTATCTCCTAGTCTTAATGGCCACGTTTCACAGCTGTAAAATAGAACAGAGCGAACTGCTGCGCAGTATACTCGTCCCTTAATTGATAGACGGATATCTCGTCTTCGCCATCGGTGACGTAAGTTGGAAAAAGCTAAACGAGCTTTTTGAGTCCGTGCTGAGATTTCGTTAGACACCAACCCACTAGGGCTGATCAGACTTCCAAGATAAGTAAAGTTGTCGACGCGTTCGACTACTTCACTCTCTATCTGTAGTTCAGGTGTTGACGCAGGTCAGTCCTGGAGTAACAATTTACATTTGGATGGAAAGAAACGCATCCCAAACATCCTGGGATTATTACTCATTTCTAACGGAAGACTCTGCATTTTGTCAGCGTCTTCACCAAACAGGACTATGTCATCTGCGTATTCTAAGTCGATAAGTGAACCTCCTGGTAGAAGATCAATTCCTGAAGGTTCAGTCGAAGACAAGGTTTAAATACATCTGAGGTACACCTTTCAATGACACAGAGCCTCTCTGTCAACAGAGTGAAAAGCTGTTTTTAAGTCGAGAAAAACTATCATTTTCGGACACCGATAAGCATGCCTTTGTCCTAAAACCTGACAAATCGTGAATATGTGGTCGATACAGCCACGACCATGTCTGAAGCCAGTCTAATTTTCTGGATTTCGCAGTTCACGAGTCTTAGGCGTTCGATAACTATCGAGGCTAGTATTTTAGATGCTATATTAGTCAAACTAATCCCTCTATGATTATCACAGGATGATTTTAACCCCCTTTTCCTGATTGTCAAGGGTCATTTCTTTACACCTAAAGAACTCGGTTGTTTCTACCTAAAAGCGTCTAATGGCTTTACAGTGGTTGGGTCACAAATGCTTCCTAACATAATGGCATTACTAAATGAATCTAAAGAACTGCTAGATGATAACTTTTTTACAGTATACCGCATGGTAAGAGTTAATTGTTGTTAAATCGTACTACCTAGTAAACTTTCAGTTTGTAGTCGTTCATGAATTCGAGGAACTAGTATACCACTGAATACTATATTAATTCACAGCCGCTTATCGTAAGTTAAAACTATGAGCGCATGGACCAGATGTTTTAACTTGTGGCCTGGATGCCCTGTTAATGTATAACGTGATAATACCACCAATTGGAGAGCAGTGATTTACCGATCGGACCAATGACACATAAAACCCGTGCGAACAGTCTAGAGTACTAATCGGTCCTGCTGTCTGCCTAGCCTAGCTAGTTAAGTCCAGAACATCAATAACAGCCTCTGTAGTATGAATCATTGTATTTCAAACATACTGAGTTTATATACCGATCAAAATGACCACATCTCACCATAAAATAGAAAATAACATCTGCACAAGACTAAGCCAAATGTGGCTGTGAATAAGGGAGATAATAACTGGTAGACAGGGTACAACTCAAGAATGGTAAAACGTATCAGTCAGTCAGTCACAACGTAGAACTTCGTACGTACGCACATCAGTTCGAGTTGCCATACCACATTAGCACAGAGATGCAGTTGTCGATTCAAATCCCATAGTGGTAGAAGTAGTAGGAGTATAATCAGAAATCCAAAAGATTAGGGTTTGAAGAAATTATTGAAGGAATATAGTACCATCGGTTGCTATCATCTCGCGAATCCCAACCAGATAGTCTACACCTACCAACATGGCTCAGTCCAATTGTCAATGACTGCATGGATTTGTGCCACGTTTTGGTCTGGCTGCCCCTAGCTTTCTTCCAACCTACTCCTACACCATGAAACATTGCACATCGGGGCAGTCGGTGGTTGGGCATATGTAACACATGTCCCAGCCATCTCAACTCATGACGTTTCACCACTTCATCAATCGATTTGCCATCCTTACCTAGTACTCGTTTCCTAACAACATCGTCACACACCAGACCACAAGGGCTGATGAGACTCCCAAGATAAGTGAAGTGGTCTACACGCTCAACTACTTCACTCTCTATCATTAGTTCAGGCGTCGCTGCAACCCAATCCTGAAGTAACATTTTGCACTTCAAAGGAGAGAATCGCATCCCGAACATGCCTGCATAGTTGCTTATAGTGGTCAGAAGACTCTGCATGTTGCCAGCGTCTTCACCGAGTAAAACTATGTCGTCGGCGTATTCTAAGCCAATAAGTGAGCCTCCCGGTAAAAGTTCAACTCCTGGAGGTTTAGCTGATGAAAGTGCTATCTATAAAAGTATGTCAACGACAAAGTTAAACAAGAATGGGGAGAGTGGCCTTAGTAGTTGACGACATAGAACCTGGTACGTATATACATGGGCTAGCGTTGTCATACCCCATTAGCCCAGTTATCAGACCAAATCCTAGAATAGTAGAGGAGTAACAGTATCAGTAAAGATTGTAAGTAGGTAAGAAATTAGTGAAATAAAAAAGGGTTTTCAGGAATTTGGGGAAGATGGAGAAAGGATGCAATTGCGCCACTGCAAACAACTTTAAGCCATGTCATTCAAAGCCTCTGACCTCTTGTCACAATAATCATGCGGACCCCAACCACGTAGTCTATATCGATTAACTCAATCCAATGCTCAGTGACCTCACTGACAGATGCCATGTCCTGGTTTAGCTGTCTATAGCTTTCAGCCTACTTCTACACTAAACAACAACGCCATCATACACAAGCGATGTGATTCAAAGACGAATACGTATATTTTTACTTCGGAAATGAGTTGCACAGAAGAGTGCGAATTTTCAATGCCTTTGTCACACATGTTAGTGCTTTTATTATACATGCACTGAACGGTTAGTGTTAAGAATTTCTGTGTTTTTCTCTTGTGTTAAATGAATCTTACCTTTGTCATTGAAAATAAATTCATAAGTAGTCACTTTAAAACAACAGTTGGTTCACAGCTACAGTCTTTAAAATTCAATTATGGATAAACTATTGTTGCAAACCAACAAGTGGCATGAGTCCTTAAAGTCACTAAGTTCTGAGCCATGTTGGTAGATGCAGACCACTTGGTTGGGGTCCGCGCGACTATCGTAACCAATAGTTGGAGACTCTGGGTGACATGGCTCATAATCGATCACAATGCTGTAGGTGTATACACTCACTGTCTTCCCTTAAACCGTGAGATTAAAATTACTTTATACCTTTCTTCCTACGAACTAATTCTTTTTCTCTGTATTATACACTAATATGCAATTTTCTATATATCACTACTACCATTAAAGTAACTACTTCTATGAATTTGGTGTTGATCTTGTTGTGCTAATGAGGTGTGGCAACTTGGACTGATGCATATATGTACCTTGTCCTACGGCGTAGGTGACTGACTTCTTAAATAAAGTAGTTGTTGTCGTTTCTTTTTCCAACACCTATCTCAAGTTTGCCAACTAAATTGTTAAACCCTTGTTTATAGCTACACTACTCCCAATATTAGGCTGTTTGACAAAAAGCCATAAAACAGAAGGAACTCATTTCATACTACAAATTTTGTTACTGCTCTGGTTACATTCATCATGAGATTAAGTTGTATCAAATATTGAGCACCTAATTAGTTCCCTTTGGTTTTCAAAGTTAGTAGTGTATAAATCCGGTTGCAGAATCCTTATTTCCAACTAGGGATCATCGAATGAGATTTGTGAGGCGCATATATTTATCTGGTGCTTCCTTGTACCAATATTTATGTGTTTAAATAAATAAACTAGGGATCATGAAACCGTTTCAACTTATATACGAAAATACCAAAGTCTGGAGATCCTGACAACTGTTATTTGTGGCCTTTCACATTTGTAGCTGTTAATCTCCGCAGAGGAAGACTGTTTATTGTAGTATGAAATTTCACATGGATAATAAGAGGATGACCTTAACACATTCAAACTAGAAAACTACATAGTAAATAAAGTCAATCATAAATTGAACTGTTTCTTAGTGGTCAAAACTTTCTGTTAGTAGGTTTCAGGTTTGAAATTCTCTACGTCTACTTCGTTTTAGACATCCAATAATTATAGCTAGGTGTTCAATAAAGTGCCGCTCCAACCTGAGTATACAAATCCACATGTGGTATGTAATTTACACTGGAATTAGTCTTATTATTGCAACTATTCCAACTAAAGAGTACGCTGAAATCCATCTTTGGTTAACGGGCTATTTTTATTGGGAAGTAATGGAACGCAACAACAACTTGTACGTCTATGTGCCAGTAGGGCTGTTTGTTGTTTGAACCACAGTAAACGAAAGTGGGTTAATAAATCCCTTATACCAATAAGCCATAAACTGTCAAATGGTAGCAAATGTTTAACATATTTCTGATTCTCAAGGATAATGGCACCACCAAACGATTAGTTTACTGGGGACCCACTTACGATAGTCAAAACTTAAACTTCCAATTTTTATTAGTTGAAATACAAATGAAACTTGTTGGGATACCTCTCCGTCGGTGATGTGAAATCAGCAAAACAACTTATGAAAACGAAAATCAATGTCGACTTATGGTGAACGTAAGGTCAACTCTCAACACATTTTTATCACACTGCTTGGTGAACAACCAATGGATTTTTTACAATGATAATTGCTCAGTTCTTAAATCCAATTCATTATAACATACTAACTTAAGTGTATTATAAAGTATACTGTATTCATCATCAAGAAAGCTCCCATTACGAAACTGGACTTTTTAATCTAGTTAGTGGAAAATGGAAGAAAAGAACATTAGTCTGGTTCACTATACTAAAGTTAGAGTTGCGGAATATTAGCACGGTGCACGAAATTTTTACTTCAACGGCATTTAACAAATCTGCACTGTAGATACAATAAAAGATACCAAACTTATCAATGAAATATCGATAATAAAAGGATATTTATTAATGCTTATAAACCGGTGTGAAAGCAGTTAACATCCGAACTCCTTAAATCTGTAACGAAGGAGAGAGCTCACACCGTTTCGCCATGTAGAGAATGAAGCGGTATAATGCAATTAAGACTAAAAATAGCTATCGGAAAAAAACATTTAAGATAATTGGATTAGATCGTTTACTCGATAAGAATCTAGTATATAGATTAATTATACAGATGAGAAGTAATGGTGTTTAGAGAAGTCTAATAACACTCAACATTGTGCGTCGTAATTTGACATCAAATACATCAGAAACAGTAGTACTTGGTTATTACCAATAGTACTTAAGTGGTAATTGAGTATACTCAGTAGTTGACTGTTTATTTACGCCACAGTTAAGTTACACGTAGTCTTACCATTTATAATAGCACAAGACTAGGTTTATAAGTAGGTTTTATCCAAACCAACAGAAATTCTTGAAACGGGTTTGATTTTTTGCAACAATATATACCCTATATATCATTATCATCATAGTTCGTGAATTACTCTGTGAAAAATCACTACACGATTAGCGCAATTGTGCCTACAAGTGTGTGGGCAATTGTCACTTGTTAAATGTACATGGTGCAAGAATGTTTTCTATTTAGGAAAATGGAAAACGTAACTGGTATTTTAGGACTTATTTATTTAAACACATATATATTGGTACAAAAGAGCACCAGGTACATATGCGCATTTTAGGACTTGGCAACATCAGAACTCTAAAGACAAATGCTTGAGATCACCTACACAGTATCTGTTCTGAACAATAATTTTTCTGACACTGGAATTTAGATTTCGTCACTACCGCCTAGAATTCTTAAGGCACAGTAAAGTTCGCTATTTCCTTTTACGAACTCTCCTGTTTCATAAAGGCACTGTATTTGAAAATGTTGGTTTTCCTCTGGAAACACTTCCTTGAAATAACTAGCCACGATAGACCATTCTATCAGCATACGAATAACCGACCAATGTATGATATACTTATACACTATAATACCCGATAATCTTAGGCAATAGTGAAACTGTTTATTTCTGGACAATACCGTGGAAAAAAAACACCCAAAACGATGTCAGAAAGCATAGAAAGGCTGGAGTGGAAGGATGGACACAATTATACTAACACCATGACTGAACCTCAGTCGGATGATAACTAGTGACGACAAATACTAAGTAATGTCTAGTGATCTAAAAATAAGACCACTAATACCAAAAGACTAACTACAAATGAACAGTTTTATGGAAGCGACTTACATGAATAACAAAGTACATTAAAGTTAGAAATTTAATCAAGAGACTTCGTATGCCAGGAGAACACCCATGTTGAATGTTTGTGAAAATTAGAAGGTATGTACAAATTGATAATTAATGAAAGCCACAATGACGAAGGAAAGCACAACTTCGGCTTTATAATTTTACTTTTCCTTTGAAGCCATATGACGCATAAGCAGGGATGTCAATTTTTCAATCTTTTTGACATCTTGAGCCATATCTGTGACATACTTTAACACCTATGCAAATACTAGACAAAATACCAACTCACTGTGTGATTATCGGTTAATTTAACCACAAGCTTTCGGTCCACGTGTCTATACTTTGTACACATACGACACTAGAAATAAAACAAAATTTTGAACTGATTACTTTTGAAGGGTCTTCTAAATAAAGAACCTCAGCCGCCTTCGCGAACTCCTCCCATGAGTTGAAATTAGTCATGTATTGTAACGTATAGCCCTCGAGAGGTTTGGTTTGGCGTGATGAGACGTTACTGATGAATAGAATAAGGTGTGGTATAGGGAATCTGAGATGAAAAACAAAAAAAACTGAGCTGATGACTCACTGAGCAACAAAATTTTACATTGTAGGTGATTGAAAGAATTATTAATGCACACACTGAAGTTGATTATTTTAAATGTAGTTGTACCTTTTAACCTTTGGTAGATATGTTCAAATATGTGTCTAGCCTGGAATAAGTATAAGAGGCAGTGTGTGCTAGAACCGGGAGATGAAAAAAAATTTAGTCTATGATTTTGTAACCACGTAAAATTCAATACGATTTAATAGTGAGAGTAAAAGAAAACTGTTAGAAGAACACAATAGTAACATCACGATAACTGAACGATTGAAACTACCAGTTGACAGCGTTGCACAATAGGATTTCAAATGCGTCACAGTGAGTTGGAACTTTAGCAAAGACATAAAAAGAAACGAAGGACTACGTATGATGTCCTCACGAAAATTAGTTTAAAATAGGATTTAGTAGAATAAGAGTGACTCTTGCAGAACAAGTCCATGTTTCTAGCAGCAATGAATCACTGGAATCACAGACCAATCAGTCATCTAATGATTGTAGACGAAATAGAATAAGCTTTCGCTTAACGGGCTCCCGTGGCTAGTAGCAGTATATCACCAATATATCAGGACAGGAACATAGGTATAATAACGATTATAGAGGAATAAAAGAAATTGGTAAATCATAACAGGATATTATCCTTAGTCCTTAGGAATAGGTCAGATTCCCTCTTAAAGTAATCCCGCAAAGTCACTTGGACTAGCTCGGTTGGCAGCGAATCCTAACATATTTGACTACCTTAAGGAGTGGAAGGTATGTCTACAGTCCGTCCTGCTGTGTTGGGTCTCCAGTTTCTGGGCATAATCGCTAAAGTTTGTGTTGGGATTAAACCTAAACAGGTGTTTAAAGTGACACTCGGAAGTGTTTAAGATGCCATGTCATTAGAATGTCACCTCTAAGACGTCTATACTCTAACGGGTAAAGGTTTAGTGACTGAAGGCGCTCTTCGTAAGATTTGGATTTAGGCTCCTGAAATGATTCCTTGTCTCGCCGTTGGATACGCTCTAGAGTTTCCTTATCCTTCTCTCCAAAGTTTCACATCATCTGAGAAGCTTATACCCCAATGAACAATGAGCCACTGATTTGAGGCTCATATCATAAGGTTTATTTATTTATTTATTTATTTATTTATTTATTTCCTCTAACTGACTTTATGACTCGTATCTGGAAAGGTTTCAGCGTATTCTCATCTCTTCGGAGTGACGAAGGAAAGTATTATGGTTACAAATATTGATTTGACTGCAAGTTCCAACTCCTTCTAACCACATGTGACAGAAATATTGAAGATGCCACAGGTATTTAGAGTTTGACAACGCTTTAACCAGTAAAAACTATTATGAATCGTACTCACCAAGTTTAATCAGATGACAGAAGAGAGAAGGTTCGAAGACATATTTGATAGGCTATCAGTATATCGAGAGTCAACTGATCTAAACTGGCTAGTGGTTGCAGGTGATGTTGAGCAGGCCGTTCCCTGGTGCGGAAGCATGACCGAGCGTCTTCAGCTAGGTCAGCCCATTAAAACTAATGTGGTCAGTATTCAATGTCGAACACTTAAAATGCTATTGATTTTGGGGATTTATTTATCGCTACAGATCACTTTCCCCCCCTGGTGATGTAGTGATGACCCTACGACCTGGCCAGCCAGAAGTTTGGGCTCAACGAGTATGTCCTTGGTAAACATTATTCTGATAGCTTGTTATGTTTAATGGCGTCTGGTCGTCTTTCCTTACTATAATGGTTTAGGAAGTACAATATAGTAATAAGGGAAAAAAGGGCAATCAACACTTTGGTTCCTCGTAAACTTCATCGTTTTTTTCTATCGTCTTTCACAGCCATCCTGGAAAAGAAAAAGAAAGGATGTGTAAGTGCATGTCGAATTACACTCGTACGAGCATAAAGGCACAAAAAAGAGGAAAATATACTCATGCACATGCGATAGTGTAAAAATGAGTATTACGTAATGCTTTTTGTTAGTTTTTTTGAAATCAATTTTTAATATACATATATTAGCGAGCATATTAGAAAGATATGTTGTGGTTGATTCGGAATAAATGTACGAATATAAACATAATAAAATTGTTTTTTAATAATATGTATAACACAAAGAAAAATGAAGACGAAGCAAAATGTTAGTCAGTGTCTTACTTGCTTACTTACTTGCTTACTTACTTACTCGTCTAAATGTTCTGAAAACCTTACTCTTCCTCCGGAACGAGTTGTTTTGATTCTATTTTCAGATACCGCCAAAGTATCATCGTGAGTGATGGCTATCGGATGAGGTATTATAAGTGTAGGAGTCGTGTCTTTCGACTTTACGGGAGGAAAATCGACGTGGATTGGGTTTCCTTCTAAATACACTGCTTTGATACGGTCGATGCTGATGCCATTGTTAGTTCCGTTCTTATCGACTATATACTACTTAGGTTCGCGTTGAAAAACTTCGAAAGGTCCCTCGTATGCTGACTCGAGAGGTCATAAACGTTAACCTCGACGTATAAAGACATGTGTGCTATACCGTAAGTCAGGTCAATCGAAAATATTCCTGCTCATGTAGGAGTTTAGATCCATGTTCACTGAAGAAGATGAAGGATTCACGAATTCTGCAGGAAGTCGGAATATCGTTCCATAAACGAGTTGAAATGCAGTGTATCCAATGTCAGCCAGTAACAATGGCAGAAGAGCGTCAGCCCATTGAGATACGTTTGCAACTAAGAGGGAAGCTTTCGACTGTCAAAAAAATCGTTCTACAAATCCTTTGCTTGTATGTGGTCGTTCAGAATCGTGTGATTCCCAGTAGTGTAGTAAGACGACCGATAGGACAGTATTCGAACTGGCGTTCACGGTTTGTAGTGATAGTTGAAGGGCAGTCAAAGTTTTTTATCCATTGTTGTATGGCGGCGCGGACCACTGTTTCAGCAGCAATACCCTTGATTGTTATGCCGTGCAGCACGGTGCATAGTTAGGAGTTCCCTACCTAAATTGTTGTACTGTAACCGACTTTAGAATAATCACACGGGTTGTCATGTGTTGTTTAACCATTTTTGTAAGACTCCTTCGGTCGCCGAGTCGGAAGCGTATGCTGCGATACTCATGGTTGCTTGGGTGTCCTGATGTTTAAGCATGGTTGCCCTTGAGATAATTTACTTAACTGTGTAGAAGTTTTTTGCATTTTCGTCCGAATTGAAAAGTTTTGTATTTCCTCGAAGTTTGTTTGTTGAAGATTTCAAGAGGATGTTGCAATTCGACATGAGCCATCAACAGAAACTTACCAGACCGTTGAATGTACGTTACTGATTGCCTGTGTTGTGTTTAGAGAGCGAATTCATTAAGCATTAATAGTTTGTGCGAAAAATCGAAGGAGTCGGTTCAAATCTGACGTTCCTACAATATACAGGAAAGCTATATTTTTGCAGTCTTTCGAAAACGAGGTCCATATGCTGGGGATAAGATTCTCTATCCGAACTTGCGTTCAAGAAGTTATCTGCATACGTGTGCACGAAGTTGACACCTTGAAGGAATCCATGAAAATTTCGTGAGGCATTTCTTAAACCGAAAGGCGTGTGCAAACATTCGCAGGGTTCAAAGGGAGTGATGATAACAGTATTGGGGGATGTCGTCTGCAGCAATAAAAATTTGCTTTCGAAAAACAATTGTACCTATTAAGTTAGTTGTGAAATCGCGAATGTAAGGCAACAGGCAACGGTAAGAAGTAGCTTTCTCATTCAGTCGCTGATGGTCATCACCTGGACGCCAATCATTGATGTTGCTGCAATTGATGACTACGATAGCCATTAATGCGTTCCGGCGGGGTAGTTTCTTGAAGAGCCTTTTGTGTCGGACGCTCTGGAGCAAGAGAATTTGCAGGATTTTCTGCAACTTTCAGAAGATTTTCCAGCACCATTCGTGACTATCTGCCTGTCATGGTATAGAGATAGTTTTTTTCGTGACAAACTCCTTCGAGTTTTCGAGCTTCTGCGTTTGTGATGGATATTAGGATAAAATCTCAGAGTGTGACAGAGGTCTGTGACATTATGTGTTGTTTGAGGCTTTTCCCTGACAGAATAAACCACGAGACTGGAGGTAATGGTAGTCTCCGGAATCTGGTCAACAGATACAGCCAGTATGTTCGCGGCGTTATTTCAAAACGAGACAAGAACTGCCTGAACCTTTTGGGCAAGCTTAGAGAAGAAGAGCTGTCTAGACAGGCCCTCGTCAAAAGTCCGTCGATCAATGTCCTCTCACTCGTAACAAAATTTCTGCCAATGAGCCAAGTTGTAGTTTGATGTTGTGGAAAAGTTGGTCTGACCTTTTGCGGTGAAAGAGAACACATGTGTGAACAATCGAATGTATTTTAATACAAATTGCGGGATCTCTTAGTAAAATCTGAGAATTATACGGCGAGTACTTCGTTTGCGAAATGTCAATCAATCGCCTCATACTTCACTGTTCCTTCACTTCCATACCAATTTCTTTCTGTTCCCATTCTTTCCTTCTCAGCATTCTGATACCAGACATTCTATTCATGACTAACGTTATAAGTAGCACACACCACACTTTGTCTGATGGTTAGATCCCCATGTTTTAGGATAACCTCCATTAAAGTGTCACTACGTTTAGAAGCATCTCTGGTAAACGTACTAGGCGTAACGTATCTGTTGAAATCGCGTAGTAGTGCCTTGTCACGCCGTGCTCGTGGAAGTCAGCCCCGGCGTGGCGAAACCAGGCCTCAATATTATTTGGTCAAAGTTGCATGAGTTTAAAAACAGGAGGCCAAGGATCCCTAATTCTAAACAGCTCGAATATCTGTTCCATAATAATGAAGATAAGATATACACTTACTTACTAATGCCTGTTACCCTTCGTGTAGGAGCATAGGCTGCCCATCAGGATTCTCCATCCAGCCCTGTTCTAGACAATCTTTTCCAGTGCTTCGCATTTGCTACTCATCCTTCTCATATCTGTTTGTATCTCCCGACGTACTGTGTTCTTAGGCCTCCCTCTTTTCCTCTTCCCCTGAGAATTCCAAATTAGTGCTTGTCTTGTGATGCAGTTCAGTGATTTCCGTAATGTATTTGCCGCCCATTTTCAAAGTCTTTTCCTAATTTCCTCTTCAACTGGAACCTGGTTTGTCCTTTCCCATAGAAGGTGGTTACTGATGGTATCCGGCCAATGGATGTTGAGTATGTTGAGCAAACAACTATTTATAAATACTTGTACCAAAATACGAAAACAATATCACCGTGTGTAAAAATGAAAGTGAAACAGTGATATATAATGTTACAACAGGAAACATACTCGTAGTTTTTTGTTCGGTGTACCAGATCACTCCGAGCCCATCACTAAAGACGTCACAATATTTGGATTTTGATAACACCTTTACAAGTAACACTTTTATAATCGAAGAATTCTAACCCAGTCAAATTAAAAGTCAGAAATGAAGTGGCTCGAAGATATCTTTGGAAAGTTGATGATATGTCAAAAAGAATTTGGTCTGAGCTGGCTAGCAGATGAGAGGGATGCTTAGCACAACCTACCTGCTCATGATAAGATGCTTATGGGTGATTGAACTCCTTTAGCTAGAGTGTGTTCAGAAAAAGAATGAGGTCAGCATTGAAGTCACGACACAGATAGTTGAATCGATTGTATCAAAAAGTTTCCTGACACTGGTTAAGAAATCACTTGGGTTATTACGTAATCGCGACACTAAAATTCTCATATCTCACTATCGTCCTATTGGACAACAGAATCGGCAAATAATGGATTGACAATAGAAGTAAAATAAAAAGCATGGAACACTTCCACTCTTAACATCATATTCATTTAGCTGAGAATATTTTACCTGTAGTCGAAACTGAAAATAACCATGCATAAGATCCTAAATTTCTAAAATCCCGATATGTTTCGTAAGTCTACATTTACTTAGTGACATAGCAAAATACTGGTAATAAGTCAAAATTCATAGAATTGGTTACAACAGCTGTACTATTTTGACAAGGAGATGAATATGATGTCATATACAGGTGCCTCAAAATTCTTGTCACAGTAATGTAGCACGATTTAGTACAATCAAACGATCAAGAAGTATACTTTTTATGACAAGCAGAGAACGTTTTCCTGTACTTCAAATGTTAGTAT